TAGGGATGAACGGGTTTAAGAGTATTTAAGAGTTTTTAAAAGTTTTAGCCAAATGCTTTATAAAATAGTATAAATTTATTATTTATGTAATATTTTTGGATTTTATGTTTTGGACTTTGAGTTTGATCAAATATGACAATTGACAATATTAATAAATTAGTTGGACACGTCACAATTCACACGTCCAATTTAGTTTGAAGTTTTATTTTTTACTTCTTAGATTATGCAATATGTATTTAAGAATTGAATGTATTCAAACTCTTTATTTTTTTGGACCACAGTCAATTTATCATCAATTTGATAATGTATTTTTGAACTTATAATTATTGAATTATAGACACAAAATGCAATAAGTACAAATAGGGGTACGTTTTGCAGTTTAGAAAAATGTCCAAACCACATATACGGTGTGGTTTGCGGTTTGGTCTCAAACCGCACCGCAAACACCCCTAATGCTGACATGTGATGAAGCTTATGATCGAATAGATTGTGAGTTACTTATCTTGTTTTTAACGATTTATGTGTTTCTACTAATTCTCTACAATTAAAGAAGATAAACAACGAAGCAGACCAACATCACCTATCAGCATTATTATGAGTCTGATTGGTTTAATACATTTGCTCATCATTTTTAATGATATTGCATATTTTTATAATATTGATTAAGTATACACCTCGATTTTGGGACAGAATCGTACATGGGATTTTCATTCAGAGGATGAGCCTTATCAAAATCGTATCGATTCTTATTCTCAACGAGTCCATAAGGAGCGATCTCATCCGACAAGAAATTTCGCTACCTTAGATCTCCAACAGTGGAAAATAATGAAAAAGCAGATAGAAAGTTATTAATAAAGAAATAAATCATTTCTTAAGTGACTTAGGAGTCGTTTACTAAACGCTTATCCGAATAAGCGCTTATCAAGTCACATTACCTTACCAGATGAATATGGTAAGAAACAAAAATCTTAACCAGTAAGAGCGAGGGACAAGGACCAAGAGACTTACCCGGTAAATGAGATGATGACTCTTGCCACAGTAAGCACTTACCGGGTAAATTGTTACATATGATGTCGTTTTTGTGGACTAAAATCTTATCTAATACATAAATGATAGTGTTGAAGTTTACCGGTAAACGCTTAGTAGGTAAGTGCTCTATAACCGGGCCCTTAATTATTTGCACAAAAAGACTATTCAAGACTTGGATTGAAATTCTGAGACTAAATCCGTAAATTGAGAAATACTTGAGGGACTGAATATGTAAATTGTAACTTACTCTTTCAAGGCAAGAAATACATACACAATTGTATATGTATATATGACGCCGACGGCCAGCCAACTTCATATTTACTTTTACTCGGTGCGGACACAAACACCAGCCAGACACCTCCCTGTCTCTCTCTCGTCACTTTCTCTCTCTAAAAACGATTCAGGTAAGTTGATTTCTTCCTTTTTGATCCAATTATTATCACTGTTTTGAGCTTCAAACATCTGATTTGTATGAATGGAGCTCATCGTTGATTTTTGTTTCTTTTGTGATTATGTGAGATTGGTGAAGAGTGTTATAATCATGAGGTTAATTGGTGTGTTTGCAGTTTTACTGTTTGACTTTGAATTCAATTGTTTGAAATTGGACTTCTAGTTGTGTTTCTTCAAGTTGATACCAGCAATTCCTTTTCTGTTCCTTATTTTCTCCGTGTGTGTGATAATGTGTTCGTATGATATTTTTTCCAGTTTATATGTTATGATCTAGGTTTGATTTTATGAATCTCTATGTAAAAATGGATTTTAGTTGAAATGGAATTCTTTGAAATGTACAATTGTGATGTAGAAGTATAATTTTGGTTTTTGCGAATTAATATATACGTTTTGTACATCAGGATGGGACTATATATGTATGATTTGAAGTTCTATTATTTAAGGAGTCCTTTTGCTGAATTTAGTGTATAAACTCAAGTCAGCATTAGGTTTCATTAATGCTGATGATACCATCACTAGGGTTGTTACTTCTTTAATGAAACTGTGTTGGTGTTTCAGAGAGATGCTATTAAAATTGTTAGTATTCATTTTGGTTGGTTGATTGTGCAGATCAGTGAAGATTTTCACATTGAAAGAATGTCGGCAGGGGGATCTCAAAAGAGTTTGCGGAAAGCCCTCGGTGCCATTAAGGACAGCACCACTGTCAATTTGGCTAAAGTCAATAGTGACTACAAGGTATGGGAATATTTTGGGATCTTTTGTATGATATTATCTCTGATATGCTTAGTCTTTGATATTCTTTGTTTCTTTCAATTCTGTAGGAATTGGATGTAAATATTGTTAAGGCCACCAATCATGTTGAGCGCCCAGCAAAAGAGAAACATATGCGAGGTGGGTATTCTAGTGAGATAGGATCGGCAAGTCCATGATCTATTTGTATGAGAATTATCTGTTTGTGATCTATTTTTAGAAGGGAGACCTGATGCTTCCCTAATCCTACATCCTTTATTGCAGCTATATTTGCAGCCATCTCAGCTACAAGACCTCGTGCCGATGTCGCATATTGCATCCATGCTCTTGCAAGAAGATTGTCGAAGACACACAATTGGGCGGTATGAAAGCCTGCCATTTAATCTTTTTAGTGTGATCATTCTGATAGAAGGGTTCTTTCTAAAATTTCCAAGTTGGATTAAATATGTTATAGTTAAGAGACTCCTAATTTAAGAGTATCAAGAAAGGAAAATTGAAAAGCCATATGGGTGGATCGTGTCAAATCGCATGAGAGATGCACGATGTAAAGTAGCTTTCAGTGTCTACAAAGTTATTGGGAAGCTGTAGATGAGATCTATTTGATGTCTATTAATCGTAATTGGCATTGTCAGTTCGTTGATGATATCATGCTTTCGTGATAAATAAGTAAACTTATCATCTTTTTTACAGCAACCTCCCGAAAAATATAGATTATGTTCGGAAAAATGCTTTGATGCACATGCACCAAATATAGTTTCTCACAATTGTTTATCTTATGTATGAAGTGAGTTTGATAAGCATCAATAGCCTTTATCATCTTTTATTTGAATGTGTACTTTAATTGCACTTACCATATCTAATAACTATAAGAAGCTAAAAAGAACACATAAACATATTAGCGCACATCTTCCTCTGTGGCATCCTCTTCACGTTCTATCTCTTCAAAAATTTTACATTGAACCTTATTAATCCTTCTGGTCATTTTCCTGGATTGTTTAATTTTAAACCTTCACCAAGTGAAGACCCATTTGTTTATATAGTGAACGTTTGTTTTCTTGGAATCCGTTTCCTGAAATTTTCATAGGAGTCACTGCAAACTGAGCCATTTGCACAAAAATTCCTAGATATTACTCCTTTCCCTTTTTGGTTTCTGTCGACCATACTTGCTGTAGCTTCCATATCACCACTATGCCATGCATTCCCAAGTAAACAGACTCAGCATGCAGCATGCTCATTTCTTGACTCACATGATCCAATTCCGAAAAGCACCATCAATATTGTCGCTTCAGTTTCCTCCATCTTCACCAAACATTTCCAACAGGGTTATCTCCAAGAATGCTATGGGCAAGCTTTGCAGTCCCTGGATCAACTCTCCTTCCATCCTCCTCTTCTTTACCATCAAAATTACTTGATTCAACATTACCTATAGTTGGGCTCCCTAGTTCAATCCTTTAAATTTCTGCAACTGAGCTTTTGATGATTTTACCTCTTTCGGCTGATGAAATAATCCATCCTCTGATCCTCTCTGTGCAATGTCGCCGATGGGATTCTTAGAATACTAAGCTTCCCTGTTTTTTAAGTATATAATATTTATATACGGAAAATACTCACGAACACTCCTCACCTTTGGTGACGTTTGAACTCGTGACCTCCTGGGTGGCTGGGCTCTACTGGTAACCCGGGTACCGGGCTTCCCTGTTCTTTTTACCGGTTGCATAGGGCCAAGATCTGCTTGCTTATCTTCCACTGTGTTTGTAACGTCCCGATCCAATTCATGTGCAAGTTCTCTTTGTTTGTTGCTCTGTGATCCCAACCTTGTTAACTTTGGCGGTGATGACAACCTTGACTTGGTATGTATATTGATAATTTCATGTATGGACCTGATTGCATGATATTCATTTTGTTTAGGTAGCAATAGGTTTTCCTTGTTTTTTTCTTTTATATGTGAACTATCCATGTGAGCTTATGGTTTACTGTTAACAGCTGATCTGATCCTTGGAATTGAATGATGAATTATGAGAAGAGGAGGAAAATGGTTACTTTCCTTGAATACTACGTAGAAAGACGGCTAGTTTCTACTGGCCAATTTGTTAACTTTCTTGTCTGTTAGATATTCAATGTAATTTGTACTCCCTTGGTCGTAAACTGCAATCCATTAAACTCGCAATTTAAAGAATGTAATTATATGCATTGATGACATATATTTTACAGCTTTGACCAGTTAAGAATTGGGGCAAATCTTTATCCAGCTAAAGGACTTTCCTGACTATCTGATTTTCCGTTATGATTTGGAATCACTTGATACTACAAAATTTGAAGAATAAATTGTCTTTTGCTGAGTGCCGTATGATAGTTTGCCTTTCACAGATTTGATCCACTTTGAAGCTTGTGGTCAAAATTGAGGATTCTTTTGTTTATGCTGATGTTGACCACATATTTTGTTCAGGTAGCTTTGAAAACTTTAATTGTTATCCATCGGGCCTTGAGGGAGGTGGATCCGACATTTCAAGAAGAACTTATTAACTACGGAAGGAGCAGTAATCATTTGCTCAACTTATCTCACTTCAAAGATGATTCTAGCCCAAATGGTACCTTAAAATGTCATTTTTCATGAATTTAACTAGAGAGAGAGAGAGAGAGAGAAGATCCATCTTTAACAGATATATTTTGACCTTCTGCTCAGCATGGGATTATTCTGCCTGGGTTCGGACTTATGCTTTATTTTTGGAGGAGAGGCTGGAGTGCTTCCGTGTATTGAAGTACGATGTTGAGACAGAACGTCTGGTAAGATAATTACTTCCTTACTATGTCAAAACTTGCGATTCACTCAAGAGATGGTACATTAAAAGATTGTTTTGATCCAATGTAAATCAACTATCTGTCATCGTTTCTCATTCACCCTACCTTATTTACTTCTAACATGTTTAAGAACATTTATCTGTCTATCCTTTTTAGTTATTGTCTCTGTAATCAAATTCAAATGGGTATGATTCAAGTTAGGACCTCTGGCCGCTCCAGTTATAAATCAAGAAAGCATCAGATGCTACTTTTTCATGATTCTTAACAACCTTGCTTACCAATTTTGCAGAGAACTAGAGATCTAGATACTCCTGAGTTGCTTGAACAATTACCAGCTTTGCAACAACTTCTGTATCGTGTTTTAGGCTGTCAGGTATCATTTATAGTTCCTTTTTGGTCTTTTTGGTTCTTTTTATTATTTGGTTTGTTGAAGGAGCAAAGGGCGTGTTTATGCAAAAGTTGGCCATGATTGAATATATTATAGTATGATTCAACTTCACTCTAGTCTCTTAACAGAATCATGTTCTTCCATGCAGCCGCAAGGAGCAGCAGTTCATAACTTTGTGATTCGGCTAGCACTTTCTTTGGTTAGTAACGTCTGGTAGTAATCTACTAGTCATAACCAACACCTTTCAATTTGGATATTGTTCTGATTATATCTTATGTTTGAGCAGGTTGCTTCTGAAAGCGTCAAAGTGTACAAGGCAATTAGTGAAGGTTCACTTAATTTGGTTGACAAGGTAAAGTGTTTACTTGGCTAATGAGAATTTGAACTTAAGTTGCTGAACGATCTCCAATAGTTTGAACTTCACTGTGACAGTTCTTTGAGATGCAACGACATGATGCTCTTAAAGCTTTGGATATATATAGAAGGGCTGGACAGCAGGTAATGCTATAGGAAACTTTGTTTGGACCTATTATTGCTTCTCCTAATTCTGAAAATATGGGCCATGTTTCCAGGCCGAGAGATTGTCCGAGTTCTATGAAATATGTAAAAGTCTCGACATGGGACGTGGGGATGGGTTCATTAAGATTGAGCAGGTATGATTTCCTTCTGGTCAAAAAGCTAAGTTTTTCCAGGTTTGTTTTTTGACTCTAAGTCCTTTTTTATTTCCTTTCTTCTATTCATCAATATGAAGCCACCATCTTCATTCATACAAGCCATGGAAGAATATGTTAAAGAAGCTCCCCGTGCTTCAAACGTTCGTAAAGATCTGGTAAGATGTTTCCACTAAACTTGTTCTAGCCACAAATAACAAAATGAATTTCGTCAACCCTGTAAAAAAGGTTAAAAAGAACCTGTATTTACTTCTTTGTGTAAAAATAACGACATTAAATTTTTTGTGAAATTGCATATTTCAACCAAAGCAGTCAATTGATGGGAAACCAAAAGGAATTTTAGCCATAGAACACAATAAAGAGGCAGAGCTTCAGGAGAAATGCCCACCATCACCTCCAGTAGAACCCAAGCCTGAGCCAGAACCAGAACCAGAGCCAGTTAAAGCCGAAGTTCATTTTGCTGAGCAATCACCAGATTTGCTGGTAATTTGATTAATTGCTATTATTTATTTACTTAATTACTGCAGGTTATTGAACTATATCTCATGGATAGTCATGCGATTTCTTGGTTAATATTCATGGACCCATGGTAATTGACTTTTTTTTTGTTTAACGTGGATATCCAACCCGCTATACGAGCCAACTAATCCACGGGCGACCACCTGCTTTGCGGGTAGCCCGGAGTCACCGCATTTGAACCTCTGTGGCCGCAAGAGGATTTTTATTCCTCCTTGGATTTGAACCTGAGACCTCCAGGCACTTTTGACCCTTGGAGCCAAGCTCAAACCAATCAGACACCACCCTTGTGGTTATGGTAAATGACTTTTGATCTCTTATTTCTAGGGTCTGGATGATCCCATTCAAGAAGTCTCTGAATTAGACCAGAAGAATGCTATGGCTTTGGCTATTGTTCCAATATGTAAGTAATTGCTAAACGTTTTGCAGCCTATTACTTCTGCGGGTCATCACCCTTCTCTTTTTTCACATTGGATCACTACTCGGTTCACCTTGTAGTCTACTTTAGTGAAAAGAACTTGATGCTTTTTTACAATTTCTATCATGTAGATAGTCAAATCCTAGCCTAAGGGCATTATAGGTGACTTGATTGAGGCTTTCTTGTGCCTATAAAAAGGATCACGTTTAGGAGGCTTATTTTTTCTAATCATTTTCTTGATGGTGCTGTAATTGCAGCTGATCAACCATCTTCGACTGCTGCAACAATGATTGATGGAACTGCAGGATGGGAATTAGCCCTTGTAACTGCCTCAAGCTCTAATGAGAGTGCTACAGCTTCAAGCAAACTGGTATCGTCGTATCTCCATCTTGTTTTTGCAGTATACTTCACACATTCGGTAACTGTAATCAGGACCTGTTCTGTTTATCTGACCACTTAAGATTGATCGGTTCTAATTGGTTCACCATACCTGGTTGGAGCTTTTTTCTTTTTGGGACCAAAAGATTGATTTCGTTGAAGATGAGTTTCTCCTATGTTCATAAGGACATAAATCATGTATAACGCAAGATACCATTTGAATCTGACAGAACCTTAAATTTTAGCTCATTATGTTTGTCAGAAACACGATATTCCCTCTCTATATCTTACAGATAAGCTGTTTTCCCATCTTCTGATATGATTTTGGGTGAATTAGGCTGGAGGGCTGGACAAACTTACACTCGACAGCCTCTATGACGCTGCAGTCAGGAGAACCAACCAGACCGCAAGTTACAACCCATGGGAACAAGGTCCTATGATGCCACAACAGACCACACTAGACCCGTTCTACGCTTCTAACATGATGGCTGCACCGCACAACGTACAGATGGCAGCCATGGCTCAGCAGCAGCAAGCTTTCGCGTTGCACCAGCAACAACAAATGATGATGATGCACCCACAACAACAAAGTTCAAACCCCTTTGGCAACCCATACGTGGATGGCCGCCATCCCTACAATGCAGGTGTGCCAGTTCAACCCTATAATCAATATAATGGTCTCATTTAAATTCCCTTATAATTTGCCGGAACTTGATTGAACGAGTAGCGGAATAGTGTGGCATTTTACATAAAAAAAGGATGTATACAGTTTGTAAGCACAGGAGGGTAGAATGAGATTATTTTTTAGGAGCAGAATATTGGTTTGGGACTAGAGTCAAATTCTTTGATCTGCTTCTGCTTTGTGCTCAAGTGGGTGGGTTGATTTTGTTAATGAAAATAGAAGATTTGTGTAAGATTTTGTTTTGCACATTCTTGTATATCATACATACAGTGATTGAGTGGTTATTCTTGGTTATATTCTCCCAAATTCTGTATTCATAGAAGCTTTGATAGTGATCCATGTTGGTAGGCACCCGATATTTTGTCTGGGTGCGTTTGGTATGTGGTTGAGACTTGACAATACTGGACTGGACTGGAGATACGAGGATGAGGTAGGCATGGAAGAAATGCGGAAGGCATTATGATTTTCATTTGATATGAGTATTTTAGTAATTTACTAATATTTTCTTAATTTTTATTTCATATATTTTGGTAGGACTAACACCATTCTCTCCTTGTTCCTGAATTTGGTAAGAAGAAATATGATTTAATTTTATTATTTAATAATAAAAATTCAAATGTGTGGGAAAATTTGGCATATATGTATAGACGATTACACGCATACATATCCATTTCTTTTTCTCTATTCATATAACAAATATTCAGATAAAAAGGCATTTGGTCCGTGTCATGGTTTTTTGATGTCGTATTTTATCATATAGTTAAAGAACTACAATATAACTTAATTTTTTTATGACATCATAAATAACTATAAAATCCATTGGTTACCACTTAAGGGTGTTTGAAATGATTTTTTTTGAATGTTTGATATACTTATTGTTCATTGTTAAGGGGTTGCTTACCAACACAAAGTGCGTTATATTTATTAGATAAAGAGTAATAATCTTTATTTATTTTATTGGGTAATATTTTCGATCATCAAAATAGCATAATATAAACGCTTTTTACATGGTAAGATTAACCCGTTTAGACTTAAGAGTTATCACTCTCACGTACCGGTTAAAATTATTGATTAGCAAAATGACAAAATAAACTTGTTGGGAAAAAATATTATGTCTTACCGGAGGAAAAATGATATTCACATCATCAAATTTTACATGTTTTTGATAAATATGGAAGAAAAACAAAAAAAAAACAAAAAAAATTATTATTTTAATTAAAAGAATTTTTATTATATTAATATTGTGTTCTCCAAACCTTTTTTTATAAAGAAAAGGAAGGAAAAAGAAAGAAAAATGATAGAAAACCTCATATTTTTAAATTATAAAACTATTTAATATTTTATTATAAATAATATATTTATAAAAATTACATATTTACGTGAGAGTAGTAGTTGAAAAGATTAAATATGTGTTTGAGATTTGCTTATTTGAAATAATTTATGATTTTTTATAAAACATTTATTATCTTATTATAAATTAAAATGATTTAACTTTTTTAAAAACTTTTTGTTACCGATTTAACACTAATATAAATTATTTATTCAAACTCTTAAAAATATTTATTACCGGTACTATACCGAAATAACTCTATTTTTATAAGCAACTGTAAACACCCTCTAACATACATAAATGAAAGCAAACGGCACGCAACGAAAGCACCAGCTGCATCATCATCCAGCAACCTCTTTGTCGTCACCCTTAACCCCAACCTCACACTTCCACCATTAATGGCATCTTCCTCCTCAATCCATTTCCCATAACCCAAAAGCCATGCCCTCTTCTTGGTTTTCTCTCTCGCTTCCTAATCCCTTCAACTCCGACGACGACCAAACATCCCCTCCTCACTCCCCCACCTCCAAACCAGACTTCTCCCTCATCACCCAAACCATCGGCCGTCAACTACACAACGTTGCTTCCTTTCTCGCTCCACCACCACAACCTTCTTCTTCAACTCCGCCACCGCAGTTTCATGATTCCGGCGATGTTTCTACTTCACCTTACGGAGGTATCAAGAACGATCTGGCTGAAATTGGCGGTAGCTTCAAGATCGGCCTCTCTCTACTGTCATCCAATAAGGCGGTGAGTGAAATTTCTAAATTCGCTTCCAATTTGCTTCAATTTGATAAAGGGGGTGATGAAATTGAAATTGAGGCTGTGGGGATTACCAATGATGTTGTTGATTTCGTTCAAGAGATTTCTCTTCGCCCTGAATGTTGGATTGATTTCCCTTTATCTCTACAACACAAAGGTGCATTTCTTTCCCTTTTTGTTTCCATTTCATTTATTGGAAACAATTAAACCAAAATTCTGTATACCATATTTGATTCTTGTTACCTTTTTATAACTTAATTTAAATTGTTTAATATCATTGAATCGTTTAGTAACAGTAGATAAACATATGGTTATATAAATGATGTAGATGTTTGCAGCCGTTGGCAACACCTTGACCATATTATAAACATTATTGTATTTGAAACTTTTGGCAAATCTTGATACAGATTTTAATATATCAAAGGGTCAGAAAGATCATGCCTCAGCCATAGAAGAGTTGGTCCCAAGTCTCACTACTTTGAGGCATAAAGTTCAGAGTTACATGAGTGAACAAGAGTTTTGGGTGATCTATTTTATTCTATTGCTTCCTCGGTTGAATGAGGACGAGTGTAGGCTTCTATCAACACCAGAGGTAAGCCTATATCTTCAAAGGCAATCTTGATCTTGTTTATGTTTGATATGTGTGTTCGTTATTGAAACTAGAAACGGGGGATGTAACCATTCGTAGAGATGCTAGCCTTTGGTGCATTTTGTACGTGTATATTTGCATCTAATTAGGAGTTGTCTTGAAGCATATTTGTTCTCGGACTGTGAGAGTCGTCTTGATACCTACATGTATTCACACTATTCTTTGATATCTTAAGAGTCGACCAACTTAACAATGCACAAAGTAGAAAGGAAGAGATGTCGATTTGCTTTCTAATGGAAAGAAGTCTCTTTAAGAGGAGAAGTGAATGTAAGTAGTAGTTTTATAGAGGAAGATAGAGGGAAAGGAAAAGATTTGGAGATGGAAAAAAAGGAGAGATAAAAGAGAATAATGATGATGAGAGAAACATAATGCATGTTACTAGTCGACTATTAAGCTCAGTGAGTTCATGGTTTTTCATGCAATAATACATACTCCAACTTATTAATATATCACTTGAAATCATGTTAATGCTTCTATGGTGTTAGATTGCATCTTCTCAAAAGGGTCAACAATTTACAACTTTGACATTTTTCTTGCTTTGTTTTTACTTTTCAGTCGGTCATAAACGGTTTGAAACTTGATGATGTGCTAGTTTCTACTTCCTTGGTAATAGTTTCTTCGCTTGTTGGATCTTGCTAGTTGATAATTAATATACACTATATTATTAATCCCCATTTTCAATTTACTCTATTTTTTGAGTTTGATCTTAGCTAAACCCTATAGGTTTTTCATGTGTTGATCTTTGATTATTGTTAATTAATTTTTTAATTTACATTTGGCTTTCTTTCTCCCACATTCCCTAAGTCGGTGATTACATTTGGCTTTGGTTGATGAATGCTTTGGGGTTTCCAACATATCATGCTTCCTGCTGTATTTCTACCATCCATTGTTAATTTTCCTTGTAAACTGGTATCAAGTTTGGTGGGATATTATTGCGTCCATGAGTATCTTGTGCATAATTTGTGCTTCGAAGAAGTATTTGATGTTTGCTAGTATCATTGCTGTATTTTTTGTAGTAACTTAAAAGTTGACATGTAATCAAATGACTTACGACTGGTATCATGGAAGTTGTTGGAAAGTGTAATGTATGAATTGCTTATGATGGCGAGGTTGTAAAAGATTCTGGTGGTTGTAAAAGACAATGATGACGAGGCTCCGAAAGGAACTGATGATGATGAGGTTGTAAAAGACACAAATTATGAATCTTTAGTAGGTTCTAATTGATGAAGATAAATCTCCAGCTTCTTGGAGCAAGTGTTTTATATTACTATATGCATAATCATGAAAATTCTTCATAAGAAACCGATGCTGATGAGGTTGTAAAAGAAACTAATAACGAGGCTCCCTGGGGAACTGATGATGATGATGATGTTGGTGTCTTTTACAGACCCTCATCATCAATGTCTTTTAAAACGTTATCTTCATAAGTTTCTTTTACCATCTCATCATCATCGGTTTCTTTATGGGGAATTTTCATGAATCATGATTATGCATATAGTAATATGAAAACATACTCCAAGAAGCTAAAGTTTTATCTTTATTAGTTCGAACCTTCTAAAGTTTCATAAGCATAGTCTTTTACAACATCATCAGTTCGTTTGAGAGCCTCATCATCAAATTCTTTGAGAGCCTCACCAGTTTATTTTACAACCTCATCATCCTCAACAATTCATGATAGCGAAGGGTCTTTGGAATGGGCGGAGCCATAATTTGTTGCTATGTGTCCTCTTAATTTAATTATGTAAAAATAGGATAAGAATGCATGCTTGGAAGAAAGAAAACCAGCTGTAAAACTGAAAAGCTAATTGACAATAGGTGGTCTTCATCAAAGATTAACACACAAAAAACTTACAGGGTTTAGTAAACTGAAATGGGATTATAGATTATTTTATATTAATTTTCGACTTGCACATCATCAAGATTCTAGCAAATCGAAGTGTAAAGACTAGAGTACCAAGTAATTAAAGATTTAGGATCAATTAAAGATAATCTGCCTATGACCTGATGCAAGAAAAATGTCAAAGCTGTAAATTGTTGACCCTTTTGGAGATCCAATCTGACACCATAGAAGCATTAAGCACATAAACATATTCCATTCACGATTCATGTCAATTACTCAACTCTTAAGGAACGATTAAACCTAAACCGGAGTGTGAGTAAGTGACTGGCAGAAGCAGCGCAGCAACAGGTTGCTGGCGGTGAGTATGGACTGAGGTAGATGCGGGAAAGGGCGAATCTCTTAGTCGTTTGTGAGTCTCTTTTGGGGAAATTTGAAAAAAAAGGCCGAGGGTGAGCCTTGAGTGGAGGAGATGGTCTAATATAAAAACGTTGATTTTGGGCTATATATATATGTATATATATAAATCTGAGGGTGCTGGCATGGGCGTGGGCTGACCCTGGGACAGGAGTGGCTCCACCTGTGGTCATTGGCCCGGTGGTTTCTGGGTTACCGGTAGAGCCCAGCTTCTATGAGGTCAAGGGTTTAAACCTTACCAAAGTGAGGAAATTTTGTGAGTATTGGCCATATATAAATATTATATACTTGAAAAAGACTTCCATGACCAGCAGTTTTGATCAAAACGTCCCTTCGGCCTTGATATCAACTTTCTTAACATGCATAACACACAATGCTTGTTGAACCAACAGAAGCTTTTCTAAAGAAAATTGAATTCGCTCATGAATGCGTCTTGAACCCCACCAACACCTCCTCCTTCCTCTCTTCTCCCTTCAACTCGCGAGAATTACTAACGAATTCTTGCCGAGCTGTTTCTGTATTCACAAGAGGAACAACAGCTAATAAATCCCTTCCAAATTATCCTAATTTTAGTTTTTGCATTGTTTGTTCTATTATAGATTGTTCAAGTGCGCGAGGTACTTCTGCAGAAACTGAGAAAGAAGAATGCACCCATGGAGTTTTCAGAGACGGAAAATCCAAGAGAACCTGAAAATAGAAACTCATCCGAAAAGGGTTTTCAGGTAAATAGCAGTGAGCGAATCAAGATTTCAGGCGACACTTCTGCAAATAGGATGAAAACCGAAAATAATGAGAATTGCGAGTTGTCTGAACAACACCATGAGGATGATGTCTCTTTTAGTGATCTAGAAGATGAAGATAATGATCTTTCTGGTAGATTATCGGGAATTAGACAAACACAAAGCAGCAACCTTTCTTCGGCAAGTGAAAGTGGCGACTGGATTCGTCTTAATGAGACACAGGGTGGTGAACGAAAAGCAAGAACTCACGAAAGACGTTCAGAAAGTGAAGGGTCAAGTGATTGGCTCACTGTTGAAGATGTTGATCTTTAGGACATCGACCCAGTAAAAGTTTATCATTTTCTTGAATCTTAGCTAATCACGTCTTTCCCTTTATGGGTGTTTCATGTTCTGATATGGTACATTTGGGCTTTTGTTCATATAGTCAGTAGGGTGCGTAAATGCACGTTGTAAATATCGATCCATCACTCAGGGTTTTATATCTATTTTATAGGTCAATGCATTTACATTTTGGTCATGTGTAAATAAATTGCGTTCTCACGTCACAATCACAAAATTACGGTAAATGTTATTTTTCCAGAGGGTTCGATTTTTAGTTCTTTTTTAAAAGATAAACAGGGGTTGACGAACATAAAACTACAACATCAAACTGATGCAAGACATCTTCCAATTTATGAATTCCGCTAAAAACAAAACATCCAACTTATGTACAAACTTGCTACTTGTGCTAAGCCTGGATACTTCAAACAAAGCTCAACTGATCCTTCGTTTCAGGGCTGTGGACGTCTTTTGTTGGAAGACGGGAATGATGAATTGGCGTTGGATGAACCTGGACGATACCACAAAGCTTGATTAGGATTAAACCGGCCTGAAGAATTAGAAGATAGCGGTTGTGGTTGTCGTGGTGGTGGTGGTGGAGGTGGAGCCCCCATGACACTGGTTGGTGGAGAACTAATTGCAGGTCGGAATGGTTGGAAAGAGAATGATGGACGGGTGGTGTTGGCTTGTGGCGGTGGACGGGTGGTGTTGGCTTGTGGCGGTGGACGGATGGGTGGCCTTGGTGGGCATCGCGGTAAAGTCTGGAAGTTTGAGGTTGGTGGCATTTGGTTGTGAAGCTCAGGTGGACACCATTCAGGCATATCATCATCATCATCAAAAAGTTTGCTCTTTTTTGGTGGCTGCTCTAAACAACCATTGCTGGTGTTTCTTTCAACAGTTTTCACAACTGAAGGAAGTTGGGTCAATCTGGAACTATCCAATTTTTGACCGTTGACCACTGCCGACCCATTATCGTTCCTAGAAACAGCAGACTTTACTAGAGTTGACTTTCCGCATGCGATTCCAAAGTCAAACTCAGGAAGATCGTCATCCTCAAAAGGCCTTTTTCTCACCAAATTACAAGAATCAGAAATGACTCGAGTCTGCAAAGGACTGGAACTAGAAGACGAATTACCACCGTTACGATCAACTTCAACAGATGCCGAGTTCTTGCAGCTTTCGCTGTTTATGGTTGATGGTGAAGTTGCAGGTTCATCATGTTGGTTGGAATTGGCAGGTGGTTTTTTAGGGGAGGGTTTATTTTCCGGGACTTGTTTTATAGACAAAACAGATGGAGAATTCTGTGGTTGGGTCGAACTTGGGCTACTTTTACTGTCAGATGTATTCCCAACGGGATTTAAAGGTCGGTTTTTACGCCACACAACACAACCAATCATTGAATCCGGCTTGTCATCAAGGACTGCCATGCCCTTAAAGAACCCATATTTTGCTAAAATTGTGATTATGGGATCACTGCGAGGACATAAGTAAAGATCTATACCGGACAAAAGTTGTGCAAATCCAACCCTAGAGCTTTTCTTGTATCCTTTAGCTACCTGGAATTTATAAGAAAAAAGAGATGAATCCAGCCATAAGTGCACGCCATTCGACCACGTTAAACCATTTTGCAAGAAGATTCGTACAGAAAATGTACCTCTTTCATACCAGTCAGCCCAAATTCAGAAGAACCCTCCTTCCAGCATAGTGAGATTACCTGAAGACCATTATACATGGAAGTTATTGAACATCATATACAAGTAATTGTGTAGAAGTCATTTAGAGATCTACTTGGGGTGAAGATCCAAAGGACATTAACACATAAATTTCTCATAAAAAACATATCCATCAGTAAGGCACAAGCCACAAGGTATTACTGTTTTATCATTACTTCCAATCATAGATTGTAAGCATTTTACAGGCCGATCCATAGTAACAAACTGTATGCTACGGATCATCAATTCACGACCAAGAAGTTAAAAAAGCAACCTGAAAATTGTGAAATGGTCTAGAAAGTGGGGATTATATAAAAGAATTGTGGGAAACACATAAACAACTATAAGGCCATGCAAAGAAAAGGTAATAGAACAAATGGATGCTATATTTATATGAAAGTTAGTATTGAATAAATGGCATTCCACATAGAGAGCACATTTAAATAACTGGTTTATTCCCTCTAGTAAGCATAACTTCAACTTTGATTAATTTTTGGTCCTTAATATCATGAGTTTTAAACCAGAGAGATCAAGTGAACTAATCTACGACTATGAGCATTCCAACACTGTACTCCCTCAAAGAGGGCTTCCCACATGCCTTGGTAGCAATTATGCCTTGTGAACTTCTTTGTTCCACCCCTGGGATCAAGTACATGGTGATATCTATTTTTCGCTTAATTGTTCATGTTTCCTACCAAGGAATATATGAAGTCTAGCCTCGTTTTGTTTTGACAATTCAGAAGCCTTGTAATATTACCGGTTTTAGCTTAGGATCATTATTCCGTTAGGTGATTGGTTATATGTCCTGATGCATTCGTAGAATATTTTAGGTCTCAAGGTTCTTTTTTCATTCAATAATCACTTCTTTGAGCTGATAAAAGATATCAACAGGACTGATTCAAGATTGTAATCGACTCCCAAACCTCTTGTTTGTTGAAATGTGTCAAGGGTTGTTCCAAAAAGACAACGTTTGGACCCTCAAAACATTTTTGCAGATTTTCTATGTGACTCCTGTATCTATCTCATAAGAATCTTTTATTTCTCATATTATGAGTTATTCTGCCCTCTTATTCACTTATGTAGGATTTTTCGGTTGACAATTGTTCATTTATTTGTGGTTGGTCAATCATGAAAGACTACATTTTTTGTTTGTTTACATAGTTCCTGCCTGGTGGGTTTTTGGATCTCAATTTTCTTAGTTTACTTTTGATTCAGTAAAGGTATGCATTGCATGCCATGTCTTGATTTCATGTCGGCATCATAATAATATCACTGACAAATCTGAGTTTAGGCCACCAAAAGTAGCATGGCCAGAATGGCTGAACGAAAAAGAAGGAACACCAATTGCCACAGTTAATTCATCTCCAACATTGACTGCATAGGCATGCAGGGAAGACTCGTACCAAGAGTTGGAAATTACAAAGGGCAAGTAGTATTATGTGCATAGCTTGAAGGGTCCATATTAACCACCATGGCAGTGTCCATTTGAAGGCAGCTAAGGTCATATAGAGAGCAGGCAGTTTAAGAACAAAATTCTATGCAATCTTGCTTTTACATCTAATTACTAGTTTGACATCCATGATGCATATAATGATAGTTTCTTCATAGCTTAAGATGGGATTATAGTACATGAATCCATTTGATACCCGCAGAATTTACCCATCCTCCAGAAGATAAACTACCCAAAATTTATTGGCCAAGCCCTCACGTGAATTTCAAAGACGACTGAACCCGAACATGAGGGATGTTATGAAGAGAGAAGTTATCAAGTGGTTGGATGCCGAGATCATTTATCCCATTTCTGATAGCCCTCGAGTGAGCCTGACACAAACAGTGCCCAAGAAATCTGGCATCACATTGTGGAGAGAGGAGGGGAAAAATTCCCACTCGCCTTGTCACTGGATGGCGAGTTTGCATCGACTACCGAAAGTTGAATGCAGTCACATTGAAAGATCATTTCTTGTTACCTTTCATCGACCAAATACTAGAGAAGTTGGCAGACCAGAAATACTACTGCTTCTTGGATGGTTATTCAGGATACAAGCAAGTGGCCATACACCCTGATGACCAAGAGAAGACGACATTCACATGTCCTTATGGCACTTTCGCTTTCCGTAGAATGCCTTTTGGATTATGTAATGCGCCTGCGACATTTCAAAGGTGTACGATGTCAGTCTTCAGTGACATGTTGTGCGAGTCATTGGAGATCTTCTCAGTATTTGGCGAATCATTTGAAAGTTGTCTCCACAACCTCAAGAGGGTGCTAAAACGTCGTGAGGAGACTAACTTATACTAAGCTAGGAGAAGAGCCATTTCATGGTTCAAGAAGAAATTGTGCTCGGTCACGTGATTTCTGAACGTGACATTGAAGTAGATCGAGCCAAGGTCCAACTGTCCAAGTAATCTCCACATTACCTCCACCGACATAGGTGAAGGGTGTCCGCTCCTTTCTAAGTGCCATTTCACGACCCTTGTGCAATTTACTCGCCAAGGAAAGTTCATTTGTCTTTGATGAAGCCTGTCTAGAGGCATTTGAGATTATCAAGCAAAAGCTTGTTGAGGCACCCATCATGCAAAAACCAAACTGGTCGTTACCATTCGAGTTAATGTGTGCGCAAGTAATGAAGCGATGGGTGCAGTACTTGGTCAACAGGTGAATAAAAAGACTGTTGCCATTTACTATGCTAGCCAGACATTCTCCAAGGCCCAAATGCGTTAACGACCACTGAAAAAGAGCTACTTTTTGTCGTCTTTGCAATGGAGAAATTTCAGTTTTATTTGTGGGGAGCGAAGGTGATCGTTTACTCGAATCATTCAGCCCTTCGCTATCTACTTGATAAGAAAGAAGCCAAACCTAGGCTTATCAGATGGATCTTGTTGCTACAAGAGTTTGAATTAGAAATTCGAGATAAGAAAGGGTGGGAAAATGCAGTAGCAGACCATCTGTCCCGATTCCCCACATATCAGGTCCCGACCAAGGAAGAAGTCCAGGGATCTTTCCCGGATGAGTAGTTATTTGTCATATCTAGACTTCCTTGGTTTGCTCACATAGTCAATTACTTAGCTGCAATACAGCCGCCATGAAGGAGGGATGCACACACAGGGAGAAAAAGAGCAGCTGTGAGGGATTGAGGGCTGATGGCGTTGGGATCGCAGCACACACTCACAAACACAGGCATAAATCTAGAGAAGTTTTCTGAGTTTTAGAGAATTCTACACACCAATAACGAGAGGGTTGTTGAGGACATTTTCTACAGCCACAGATAATAGCAACCGAAGGGATTTAACATGTTCATTTTTGCGGTTGATTTTCATTTTCATTGATTTGAAGTGCAGATACATATTATTATTGAGAGTACTTTGAATATTGTGGTTGTTGGGTATTGGTTTGATCTTTCAATAGTGATTTTTGCTTTGTGTACTTGCATACTATTGTTGTGACAATGCTTACACACATCCAGAAATCGTTGAATTTCACTCCATACTGAGCTAAATTTGTTTCAAGGTTGACCCAATGTGAAAACCCATGTGTAATCCAATTTTGATTTGTTTTTATTATTATATTTTGGTTTTAATTTGCATAAAAAGTGTAAATATGTCGTTGAGGCAAAACATGACAGGTTTTGTTGGGTTTTAAATATTTAATTGTTGATTTACTTGTACGTGTTTAAATTGAATGTGTTATCACGATTGATTGACATAACTTGGATAGTTCATTGGTATCCCCTGACCGTGCCGGATGCAATAGTGTAGGTGAGAGGACAGTTAGTTTGGATAGGCATGGATTATGCAGGGGGGAGCGGGGANTAACTTGGATAGTTCATTGGTATCCCCTAACCATGCCAAATACAATAGTGTAGGTGGGCGGACGTTAGTTTGGATAGGCATGGATTGTGTTGGGGGTGGACTAGTCCCTTGACATGTTGATTTAGTCAATGCATTTAAATTTGAATATTGCATGAAAACAAATTGAATTGGTGAAACACTTGGGTTAGTAACATACAGTTGACCTCGACTTTTTCTCATCGTTAGAACTCGTTTTCTCAATTTTGTTCTTTATAATTTTTCTTGATAGAAAAAAAAAGCCAAAAAGATTTTGTATTCATTTGTTTCTTAATTTTAACACAATTCCTTCCAAAGCTTGAGTTGGTTAGTGTTAACTGTAATATTTAGATCTCAATTTTGAGTCTTGAGCTTTTATTGATTTAATTGAATAATCTATCTAAGTGACACACGTGCATTCAGGTAACACAAATAATTAGTTTGAGTTAGGTTTATAAATTTAAACCTTGTTGTGCGTTTAACGACACGTGCAACATAAGTCAACTATTTGGGAGCAAAGAGTACCACAAAAGGACATTTTCTAGTATTTCAATCTGTCTTAGAAGGATGGAGCAATTGAGGAGGACGTGATAAATCGCACCAAGGCAGGTTGGCTAAAGTAGAGGGCAGTCGGGTGTACCTCCGGTTAAAATTAGTGTAATTTCTTATTTTCTGTTTTGAACAAGTCCTTAGGGGTATTTTCGGGTTTTCCTTTTTGTCTAGTGAGTGGGAGCCTTTTTGTGGGCCGGAAGCTTCTGTTTGGGGTCATTCTGTTTTTCTTCAATTCAGTTGTAAAACGAGCTTTGCTTTGGAGAGACCATGGCCTCTAGAATGCCATTGGAGTGAATTCCTTTACGTAACAATTCAATTACAAGCTTTTGACATCAGATTATAGCAAGAGACAGGAGTGATTCGGCCGAGTGCAAGTCCATTCTCAAGTCCTGTATTACTAGTAAAGAAAAAATGGGAGTTGGAGGTTTTGTATAGACTATAGAGCCCTAAATAAGGCAATAGTGGTAGATAAGTTTCCTATTCCAGTCATCGACGAGCTGCTGGATGAATTACATGATGCTAGAGTGTTCTCGAAGTTGGATCTGAAGTCTGGTTATCACCAGATTAGAATGAACGAGAACGATGTGCAGAAAACGGCTTTTCGTACTCACCATGGACATTACGAGTT